TCTAGTTAAATGCTGTATTCTAGTTAAATGCTGTTAATGCTGGGCTGCATTAACAGAGGGATAGAATCAAGATCACGTGAAGTATTAATACCACTTTACAATACCTTGGTAAGGCCACACTTGGAATATTGCATCCAGTTTTGGTCACCATGATATAAAAAAGATGCTGAGACTCTAGAACAATGTTTCTCAACCTTGACAATTTTAAGGCATGTGGACTTCAACTCCCAGAATTCCACAGCCAGCATTGCTGTGGAATTTACAGTGAACAATGCTGGCTGTGGAATTCTGGGAGTTGAAGTCCACATGCCTTAAAATTGTCAAGGTTGAGAAACACTGCTCTAGAAAGAGTACAGAGAAGAGCAACTAAGATGATTAGGGGACTGGAGGCTAAAACATATGAGGATCGGTTGCTGGAATTGGGTATGTCTAGTTTAACGAAGAGAAGGACGAGGGGGGACATGATAGCAGTGTTCCAATATCTCAGGGGCTGCCACAAAGAAGAGGGAGTCAAGCTATTCTCCAAGGTGCCTGAAGACAAGACAAGAAGCAACGGATGGAAACTAATCAAGGAGAGAAGCAACCTAGAACTAAGGAAAAACTTCCTGACAGTTAGAACAATTAACCAATGGCACAATCTGCCTCCAGAAGCGGTGAATGCTCCAACACTGGAAGTTTTTAAGAAGAGACTGGACAGCCATTTGTCTGAAATGGTGTAGGGTTTCCTGCCTGAGCAGGGGGTTGGACTCGATGACCTCCAAGGTCCCTTCCAACTTTATTATTATTATTATTATTATTATTATTATTATTATTAATAATAATAATAATAAAAGATCTTACAGAATTTTAGGTATGTTCACTGCCTTGAGGTATTTATAAAAATAATAAAGGATGGTAAAATAAATAAACAGTAGCTTTTTTCACACATAATGGGAAAAATACTAAATGAGCCATGAAATGTAAAATAAGATATGCCATCTTTAGTGTCATCTTATCTAATTATACATTTTTTAAATGTATTAGGACAATGACTCGTAGAATCAATGGTAATAAACTTTGAAGGTAATATGGTGTAGAAATTTGAAAGCAGGGCCTAGTTTGGTTTTGGCTTAATGATCAGACTGAAATCTTTAATTTACAGTGAACATTCAAGGAGACCTTTTCCACTATATGATTCACTCATTTAAAAGCCTTTTTAAAAATCTAGACATTTATTTACTTTCACAATTAAGTTTTTGTAAGCATAAGGACATGTAGTTATTATAGAAGTCAGTCATGATGAAATATTTAAATTTTATCTGGAACAGAACATACTGATCTAGAACTCAATAGTTAGATGGATTAAAAGTTTCTGCAATAATATAAATTTATTTGTGCCAACAAAACACATTTTCAATATAAATTAGGAAGAATGCCAACTACTGGTTCCATGACTCAATTCACATATTAACCTTGTTGTGTGGGTGGACGTTTGAAAAGCAACTATGTGCATATTATATGTTTCATAAGTTATTTATGTAACTGTGTAACTTTGGGGACTCAATTGTGCAGTTGCAAATGAAAAATATGTTTCAACAACATAGAGACACATGCATACCTAAGCCTGCGATTTAAGATTAATGACAGTGCTATCTGAGGAAATTAGCAAATGAGTCTGTTTGTTTATACCATCTTATGTAAATATATTTTCAATTCTTGGTGAATATATTTGTATTCTGTACTTGGATTTAAATATTATGGCTCTGATTGGATATAGTAGTTACAGTAGATATAAAAAGTCTACACACCCATGTTGAAATGCCAGATTTTTGAGCTACAAAAAAATCAGACCAGGATAAATCACTTCAGAAATTTTTACTTTTAATATAATAAATTAGCTGTACCATTCAATTGAAAAACAAACTAAAATCCTTTAGGATGACAAAAATAAATAAGAAACATATTATAATCTGGTTGCATAAGTGTTCACACATTTAAACTAATACCTTGTCAAAGAACCTTTTGATTTCATTATAGTCTTATGGGATAGGAGCCTATCAGCATGGCACATCTTGCTTTAGGAATCTTTGCCCACTATTCCTTGCAAAAGTGCTTCAGATCTGTTAGATTGCAAGATCATCTCCTGTGCACAACTCTCTTCAGGTCACCCTAAAGATTTACATTTGGATTCAGTTCTGAGCTTGACTGGGCCATCCCAAAACATTGATTTTATGGGGAAGCCATTTTTTTTTGTTGATTTGGAAGTATGATTTGGATCATTGTCATGTGAAATTTGTAATTCCTCCTCTTCTTCAGCATTTAAGCAAAGGCAGCTAAAGAAAAGCAGCCCCAAAACATAATGCTGCCATTACCATGCTTTACTGTGGATATAGTGTACTTTTGGTAATGTGCAGTGTTGTTTTCTGCCGAGTATCTTTTGGAATTATAGTCAAAAGGTTTGATCATAACAGATTCTGTCAGACTTGATGTAGAATTTTGCAAAATGTAGGTGGGCTTGGATGCTTTTCTTTATAAGAAAAGGCTTCCCTTTGCCACCCTACTACACAGCCATGACATATAATGAATATGGGAGATTGTCATGATATGTAGTAAACAGGCAATACTTTCCAGAAATTCTTGCAGCTCTTTTGATGTTGCTATAAGCCTCTTGGTAGCCTCTCGGATCAGTTTTCTTCTTCTTTTTTTCTTTTTTATCAGTTTTGGAGGAACATCCCTTTCTTTGGTAATGTCATTGCTGTGTCATAATTTCTCCACTTGTTGATGACAATTTTCACTGTGTTCCATAGTATATCGGACCAGTGGTGACGAACCTATGGCACACGTGCCAGAGGGCACTCAGAGCCCTCTCTGTGGGCACGCGCACCGTTGCCCCAGCAGAGTTTGCCAGAGTAGTGAGCACGTGGTGTTTGGAAACGAGCAAGCGATTGTGGTGTTGGCCTCCCCGGGGGTGCCCCAGAGATGGCGAGGGACTGGCACCCACCACCCTGGCCCCAGCCATGCTCACCCAGTCTGCCATGACCATTGCAGCCACGCCCACCCATTGGGCTACACCCCCTGCCCCCCTTAGGGCACCACAGTGCTGATGCAGCCCGGGCACTTCGCAATAAATAAGTGGGTTTTGGGTTGCAGTTTGGGCACTTGGTCTCTAAAAGGTTTGCTATCACTGGTGTATCCAATACCTTGGAGATTTTTTTGAACCCTTCTCCTGACTGATGCCTTCCAATAATGAGATCCCATTGAAGCTTTGAAAACTCTTTGCAGACCATGGCTTTTACTGTTAGAGGCCACTGAGTAAATGTTAGAAAACTCCAACTAGTACAGCTGAACTTTATATCGGCTTGATCAAAGTCACTTTAATTGATTGCAGGTGTATACCGACTACTATTTAACATCACTTTGAATGTGATTGATTAATTCTGAACACAGCCACATCTCTACTTATAAGAGGATGTGCACACTTATACAGTCATGTTGTTGTACATTTTTTATTGTTATTTTTTTGTCCTAAAATATTTTAGTTTGTTTTTCAATTGTATAATTTATCTTTTATATTAAAGGTGGAGAAATTCTGAAGTGATTTATCTTGGTCTGATTTTTTTTACATCTCAGAACTTTGGCATTTTAACAGACCTCTATTAGGTTTTTTATATCTATTGTATATGACCATTTGTTTTTATGGTGTGTAGGTTTTATAGTGTATATGAGTATATAAACTATCCTGAAAATTTCTGGAAGTATAAAATATCAATTTTATAAATATATATATACTATTTGGGATCTGGTAAGTTATAGTGGGTAAGATGCTGGATTAGGAAGAGAGAACCCCAGGTTGTAGTCATTTTTTAGGCTCAGTCAGCTAGGTAACTTTGGACCAGTCACTGTCTAGCTGGCAATTCAAAAACATAAATTTATCTAACTGCACTGGGTCAGCATAGTTGATTATAGTCCAGTGGTTCTCAACCTGTGGGTCAGGACCCCATTTGGGGTCGAATGACCATTTCACGGGGGTCACCAAACAACGCAATCCACCATTTCCCCCCTTTTCCTTAGCTGTGCTACTTCCTTTTATTCTATTGGATTTTGAAAGCCAATAGAATAGACTCTCTTGAATAGAATCTAATTCTATTGGCTTTCAAAAGCCAATAGGAATTGTCCAGGCTGTCTCTGCCCTGCTGAGCCTGCCAAAAGTCCCATTCTGCAAACGGTGCTGCAAGTTGTCTGCAGTGAAGGCAAGCTGTCTGGAAGTTTCCACCCCTCCCTGCTGAGCAACTACTAAAAATATAAGTAAAAGAGGGCCAGGGGTGGGAGGTGGGAGGCCGGCAGGTGCAGGGAGGGTTGCTGGCGCGCATGGGGCCCGGTGGGTGCCTTACCTCCCTTGGGCTGGGCCAGCTGGTGGCCCAGCCGGTGGTCAGCCTGCGCCGTCTCTGTTGCTTGCCAGCTACGCCTCGGCCGGCGCAGGGGGTGGCACCCCGCATGCGCGGCATTCCCGGGCAGGGAAAGTCCTCAACTTACGACCGGTTGAGTAGTCCTCGACTTACGACCGGTTGTTTAGTCCTCAACTTACGACCAGTTGGGGATCGCAGCATTAAAAAGCTTGAGAACCACTGTTATACTCAATCACTGTCAGTAATAATAATGTATACCATTTTTTTAAAAAAATAATAAAATAGAAAACTTAAATATAACGTTTCTTTGATAATTATACATGATATCTATTGATAAGACAGTTGCAAGATATTATCATTTTAAAACCAGTAGTATGATCAGAATATCCTCAAACTCTTCCCCTGCTCCCCCTCTGCTTCATCGCTTTTTAACAGCTTTCATTTTAATGGAAGAGATATCTTTGGAAACAAAAATATGTTTGGGACATACATATTTCACTGAAATTCATAGGACCGCTAAGAAAATATATATATTATTTGGGGATACTTTTGAGTGGTGGGTGAAAACACGTATGTTTTAAAATTTAATCTCACTATGTCCTATTATTATGGCAGAGTAAAACCTTCCCCTCCTGAAGGAGCGAAGTCAAATCCATCAAAAAGGCATAGAGATCGATTGAATGCTGAGCTGGATCGTCTGGCTAGTCTTCTGCCATTCCCTCAGGATGTTATTGCCAAATTGGATAAACTGTCTGTGCTTAGACTGAGCGTGAGTTACCTGAGAGCCAAAAGTTTCTTTGATGGTAAGAAATTTGAATTTGTTTTCCTGACTGACCATAATGTTAGTATTCTCTTTAAGTTGTCCTCTTTTTTAAAGCTGAAATTGAAAAGAATTTGGCTGTGAATTTTTTTAAAAAATTAAAGTTGTGCTCCTTTTAAAAGTTGCTGACCTTTTAAGCAATATTAATAAGCTTTTGGCAATTTGTTGATCTGCTTCTAGCATCTTACTATCTCATGTCATTTATTTTCCTTATGTATATGCATATATTTTTAAAAAGAACATCTTTCTTTCTGAGAGTTAGAAAGTAAATGAAAACTCTGACAGTTGTGTGTATAATGTTTGTAATTGTACTTTGTACAATTGCAATTGTACTTTGTATCAATGTGCTATGAAATTGTGTAAGAGATTACACAATTTGTATATTGTCTCTAATTATCAATCAATTAAATATCTAGTAATAATAGGCCATTAGAACGGTTACAGTAGAACACAATAACCCCTGTAGAAACAGTGTTCAGAATCTGAAATAATAATTCATTACCTGATTAGATTTGAGACCCCTTTTCAAGATCCACTGCAGGTTTGGGCTGGAAAAGATGTTTCTGGTCCTTTTCCACCTCTGCATTTCCCATTTCCAGGAGAACAGTCTCAGTGCATAATTTTACAAAATGTTTAGGAAAGTAAGTATGAATACCTCTCAAAAAACACAGCCACATAAATGAATTTATAGCTTTGTTAAATTTTGATCTTGTGAGTTGTGTTACCAGTGGAATTTGTTAGAATAGATAGTTTCTTGAAAACAAGTCCAAGGCAAAAGTTACATGCTAAATTAATTTTAGTGTTTGTGAGAGTGTTTGATTTTTGGTAATTCTGTAAAATTTAATTCAGTAGAATATGCTTTATAGTACAGGAATGTTGGGTAGTTGTAAAATACAGAGTTTTCCCCATCTTGTTCATTTCTTCTCAGTGCTTAGGATGATTTCATACCAAGGACCTTTCTCTAGCAGAGCAGAGCAGAGCAGAGCAGAATAGAAGTACCACCACTTAGCAAGGTGTCAAAAACTTGATGACTAAAAAAAAGGGGGGGATTTTGGGTTTTACTGATTAATTTATTTGCTTTTTTTATTTTTTTTATTGAAAATTTTTATAAATTTTAACAAAAAAACAGAAGAATAATAATACAACAACAACATAGACAAGAAACAAAACAAAACAAAACAAAACAACCCTTTCCCTAACCCCCCCAAAACACCCACTCCCTCCCCCCCCCGGAGCTTCCCAGAGCAGAATATAGGCTTAATTAAAAAAAATAAAAAAGTTATATGAAAAAAGAGAATATAACTAAGATATATGTATGTATATAAAAATAAAAGTTATAAAAAAGCTAAATAATATTTTTTTATATCCAATTTAAATTGTATAAACTTTATCCATTTATCCCAAACAGCAAAAAATTTCTCTTGCGATTGTTCTTTTAAAAAAGCCGAAATCTTTGCCATTTCCGCCAAATAAGACACTTTAAGAAACCATTCCTGCAAAGTAGGCAAAGATTCCTTCTTCCAGTATTGTCCTACTAACAGTCTTGCGGCTGTAATCAAGTTTAATTTTTATTTGTTATTATAGAAATGGCTAGTTTACATTATTACAAAAAAGTAAAAAGTTGAGATTCGATGTTAATGCTTCATTCTCCAGTACAGGAGATGGAGAATCCACCAGTGGGTTTTCGCTGTCTGCCTGCTCTTGAGACCAAGTAGCCAAACTTGACATGCCCTCTCTTGCTAGGAGATCCAGTCTTGACGTGGTCTCAGCTCTTGAAGACACGTCAGGTTTAGCTCTCAGGTTTTTGCAATTCAGTTAGCAGATCAGAGATCCATTGTTGAATTCTCCTTGCATTGATTCAGGTATTTGTACTCCCCCCAATTAGGATTACACCTTAAAAGATCTTCCAACCAATTTCCCTCAGGAACGCTGGGATCAGCTCTGCCTCAAATCGGCTGATTTGAGGCTTGTAGGGTGAAGGTGGGGGAGAGTAATTCCCTATCTATCCCCAGGGCTCGGGGGGGGGGAATCCCTTCAACTTGGCTCCACCGTTAATTCCCCTGCACAGCACTTTGCGCTGCAGTCAGCTCACCCCCACAGCTTAAATATTGCTTTCCAAGCCTCTGGAGGCTGTTTTCCAACGGCCCCAAAGTCGCGGCCGCCATTTTGGACGTCTGATGAGCCCAGAACTCAAACGGAGATTTTCCTTTGCTTTTGCAATCAGTTTCTGACAAGATTTAACTAGAGCCCTGCTTTCCTTGCACAACGTTTTGCACTGCAGTCAGCTTATCCCCACAGATTAAATCTTACCTTTCCAAGCCTCTGGAGGCCGTTTCCAATGGCCCGAAAGTCGCGGCCACAATTTTGGACGGCTGACGAGCCCAAAATTCAAACGGAGGTTTTCCTTTGCCTTTGCAATCAGTTTTTCTAAGCGAATTTAATTGGAGTCCTGCTTTTTGAGACAGGGGCTTTCACAGCAGTCCCCTAATCGATCTCAGGAAGCCTTACCAGAATTTGCTGCAGCTGTCATTTTTGGCGTGCCACACGGTCGGCCTTGCATTGTTATCAGCCAAATTATTAACTGAAGGCCTCAGCACGTTACAGGACATTTCCATCAGAACTCCAGGCCATTAATTTTCAGCACAGCTGAGAGACATTCTAGCCCTGCACAGCAACTGCCATTAGGCCTCATCAATTGTATCATTATTTACAGCCAATAATTAACTGACTAGGCCTAATTTCTCAGACCACCATCTTGTTTTGGAGCTGCCATTTTGAATTCACATTGCCTCTGTCAGGCCTCATCTCAGGCCCTCTGCGCCTTTCATTGGGCCATCTGGTGCATCTTGACTGGCCACCTAAGGCCTCCGGACGGAGCCCAGAACGGGTCCCAACCGTGCCTTTGGCATCTGACTCAATTGCTGTGACCAAAGCCCAGAGAGAATTTTGTCTGGTTAGGTGGTCAGAGAAGCAGTCTTGTTACTTGTTCCAATTTTGCTTCCACCAACTGCTTGCCTGCCCGAGCTTCACCTCAGTTTCCCTGAGACTGCTCAACCAGGATGGAGGACTCCACAATGCCTCAACCCATGAGCACTGCCTCCCCATCCTCCAGTTATGGCCAGCAGAAATCCTCTGAACAGAAGGTGGCAGGCAAGCTCAAATCCAAGGCCAAGGCCACTCTCAAGAAGCCTTCCAAGCCACTCTCAAGAAGCCTTCCAAGTTGGCAGAAAAGCAAGCCAGCCGTAGGCGCCAGGCTCTGGAGAAGGAGTTCTCCAGAGCACAGAGATAGGCCGGATTAGAGAGAGATCAAATGGTGGCCCCTGAATTTGACCTTCCTTTAGGTCTTTCAACCTCGGCCCAGGGCGTGTGGTCTCTCACAGGTTCACCCGCCACACTTAGTTCCCCTTCTGAATTGGCACAACACACAGCAACCATCTCGGGTTCAGCTCCAGAGGCCACCTTCCCACCAATGGCCGCAGGGCTCAGGGGACCAGACATTTTCTCTGATGGCCGCCTTGAGGCCTTGCTATCCAGGGTTGTGGACTGCTCTCTAGCAGAACGGTCCTTCCATCCATCCGGGCAGGGGGCTTCTACATCGGGCATGCCACTTTATGTGCCTCCTACGGGGTTTCCTATACTTCAGGAACCCACATCTCCTGCACAATCCTCCATGAGCGGATACTCATCCTGCAGGGTGAGGAGCAGCCAAAATTTAATCTATCAGAGGAGGAGGAACTTCCCCCTGAGCCCTCCCCATCGGGAGGCCTGTTCAATCCAACTCTGTTTCTTCCCGTACTTCGCAAGGCCACATAAACGGCAAACATAGGGTCCGATCAGTTTCCTCTGCCACAGACAACATCAGATTCCAGTCCAAATCCGATATTTTTCGAAACGGTGGCAGCACAACATCACGTTCCATGTCCCTCTATTTTTCTTAAAGGGATAAAAAAAAACAATGGGCCTCTCCTTCCTCCTTTCTTTCTATAAGGGGGACTGATAAAAAGATTTTTAGCACCTCCATAGATCTCACTGAGGCCCTGGAAGTCCCCAAGGTAGACGAAGCCTGGACCCCTCTGGTATCCCAGAGTGCAGTTGCTGGGCACATGTCGGAGGCGCTTAAAATGGATGACAGAAAATGGGACCAAACTTTCCAGAAGACCCATCAATCTGCAGCATAGGCAATTAAAACGGCCACTTGTGTGTCCTTTTTTGTGCGGACCACCCTATTATGGCTTCATCAACTTCAGGCCAGAGTCCCTGATGAGGACATTTGGACTCACCAGAACCTAAGCAAAATGGTGGCGGCACTGAGTATGCTGCAGACGCAATGCTTCAGTCGACCACCTTTGCATCTAGGTCCCTTGCAGCCAACATTACAGCCAGAAGTATGCTGTGGCTGAAACACTGTCAGGCTGACGCCAAAGCAAAATGGCGTCTGGCAACTGCTCCATATCTGGGCAATAATCTTTTTGGGGAGGCCCTGGCCCCGTACCTTGTGGAAAACAAGGACAAGTGGAAGGTCATGGCTCACTTGAATAAACAGTCCGACAAACGTCCCACTCCATATGTCCATATGGCAGTCCTTTCAGCCAGCAGCAAGTTCAATTGCCACTCAGCCCTCCCGCTCATACACACCCAGGCAGGACAGGCCATATGACCATCCGTATGACAGGCCGGCTTTTTGGCCTTGACAACAGAACCAATCTAAGAGGCCATTTTGAGGGGCAGGTCGCCCCTATAGGAGGTCCAAGTGACTCTTACACTGCACTTCCCATTGGGGGAAGGCTGGCCCACTTCTTCCATCAGTGGGAACTCACATCCACGGACGCCTGGATCCTACAAACCATCCAGCTTGGTCTGTCCCTGGAGTTCCTAGCCAGTCCCCCAGACCGCTTCATCTCTTGTCCCATTTCCCGGAATCCACTCAAACAGAGACTTATGCAGGAGGCCATTCAACATCTTCTAGAGATTCAGGCCATAGAA